CAGTTCCACCACTCCAATATGTTAGTGTTTTCACATATAACAGCATGTAAACTATTTCTTAGGATTACCTTTATGTGAATGTTAAAGGATTATATATAGAGCTCATGACAAAGTGGCTTGTCCATGATATACGTAGAACCTGGGTTTGTTGGTTTACCTACCTGTTTGACTGGCTAATCCTCCTTTTTCATGCCTGGGGTTTGCACTCATTTTTACCTTAGCCAATGCATGTACTGTATGTAAAGAGAAAATTCTTTGGCTCAGCTTTGATATTTTTTTACTCTCTACATGTTTACTATTGCTCATTGCTGAGCCTGAAATTGCATATTGGTTTGTTGTATAATTTTGCTATCAAACAGCCTATTTTATCGGTGTATATATTACAGAGGCAGGTTACACTATAATAGGGGTATATCACGTGGGTATATCGCTATGATTTACTAGTGGGTTTGTGTTTATGTGTTTTTATGGGCTAGAGTTTACTGTTTGCATCTTTATATACCCACTTGTTTGTAATTGCTGGGCAGTAGCTTGTTTTAGGAGTGCTTTTCCTCTTTTGTGGCTGTATAAGATTGTTTGTACTTCAGAGTACAAATCCCATATGTAAAAATTGCCTGTTTTTGCACATATTTATTTTATTATTTGCACATATGTGTGAAAATATTTCTTAGCATTACGTTTATCTGCATGGTAAAAAAAAAATAAAAAAATATATATATATATATATATATATATATATATATATATATTTATATATTATACTGTATATATATCTATATATCTATATCTATATATATATATATACATACACACATATATAAAGAGAGAAAGAGAGGGGGATAGATGGTGGAGGTCGCTGTACCTACGGTGCATAATACAGTAATTTCCTGTTTCCAAGGGGATTCCACAGGTATGGCACATGCATACTTACTAGACATGTGTGTTTCATTTCAATTTGTTTCGGATGGAAATTTAATTTTTGGAGATTTGGATGTATATGAATCTCTGAATGGCCATAGAAACTGATGTCAACAAATTTGAAAAAAAAAGTTATGAAATGAATGAATGCATTTGTTTCATTTCGAGGACATCACAATAGAAATTTGGGCCCATGAAAAAAATAAATTCAGTTTTAGATATGGATGGATGGATACATAGATAATGGATAGATAGATAGATAGATAGATAAAATATCACCTAACTAATGGACATAATTTGTTTGTGGTACATGAATAACAGTTAATAAAGGCATTCTCCATCTTGATGGTTATGTTGGTTTTAGTTATGTTTCACCTCTCCTGGATTCCAGTGCATTTGACCCAACTGAAGATCTCAGGTTTACTTATCCAACTAGCCATAACTGTTTCTGTTCAGGACAATTTCACTGAAGTGCACTGGAGTCCACTGGGGATGAAATTTTGTCAAAAACCAAATCAGTTTTGTTTGATTTCTCTGCTGCTCACTGATAAGCAATAGGAACATGAATTTTTAGGGTGTGTATTTACTAAAATATATTCACTTTGCAATGTGAAGGTTTGTTTTGCTTAGTGAATAAAATTATGATGTGTAAAATGAAATCTTGTGCAAGGAAAAAAACTTTTTTACAGATTGTAATTGGCTATTAAGGTTTTTTAACTTTACTTTATTTACTAAGAATTTTCATCTCTTTAGTAAATAAACCCCGAAGAAGACTTACTGTAGAAAAAGATATAACATTTATTGGATAGTTTTATGTGCACAAAATGACCAGTAAATTGGCAGAAATTAGACTAAAGACTAATTTCAACTGGACTCTTTAATTGATCTTTAATGATAGAAATGATCAATGTGAATGACTGCAGAGAGTAAAGCTGGCCATACACCAGTGGCATTTCATTTGAACATGCGTATGGAAATCCAGAAAAAATGTTTTTCAGGTCATTCAATAGAACCACTATGGACTCGACAAATTAAAAAAAAAATTTAGTTTGATTGCTATGCAATGGTCTGAATGCTGCAATGAATTTTGGAGCGCACATGCACATGACAATAAGTATAATTTTTCCTGAACAAAAAACATTCATAGTTAGAATTTCATTTGTTTGTGAAAAAAATGTCCATCCTTTTCCCTCAATTTTCCTTGTCACTATGGTCAAAATGATTGTTGATTTGACTCCATTTACTGTTAGAAAATGAAACAGACACTCTGAAAATATTGATTTTTTTTTCTAAATAAAGTTTACTGGGGCTTTAGGACCTCTGTGACATCTGTACAAAATCAGCCACGTCACTATCACAAACGGTCGGAATGATGAACAAGGAAAATCCTTTTTTTCATCTTAGTGTGGCTGATCTCCTGCAATTTCTTTACACCCACTTCTTATCAACAAACATTCCAACAGTAGCTGGGTGGGTTTCCTGATTGCAATAACAGTGGACATTGCCTATATGTGTAGTCTCTATCAAAAGTCTATGGGTCTATGTGATATATACTATATACTATATACATACACACACACATACATATATTATTATTATTATACAGTATTTATAAAGCGCCAATAGTTCGCTCAGCGCTGTACATTATATATATATATATATACAGTTGCAAGAAAAAGTATGTGAACCCCTTGGGATTACGTGGAGTTTTGCATGAATTGGGCATAAAATGTGCTCTGAACGTCATCTAAGTCACAACAATAGAAGAACACAGTCTGCTGAATATAATACTACACAAACATTAGATGTTGCCATGGTTTAATTGCACATAACATGTAAACATTCACAGTGCAGGGAGGAAAAAGTATGTGAACCTTTGGACTTAATAAATGGTTGACCCTCCTTTGGCAGCAATAACCTCAACCAAACGTTTCCCGTAGTTGCAGATCAGACCTGCACAACGATCTGGAGTCATTTTGGACCACTCCTCTTCACAAATCTGTTTCAGTGTAGCAATATTCTTGGGATGTCTGGTGTGAATCGCTCTCTTAAGGTCATGCCACAGCATTTCAATCGGGTTGAGGTCAGGACTCTGACTGGGCCACTCCAGAAGGCGTATTCTGTGCTGTTGCAGCCATTGTTTTTGTTGAATTACTTGTATGCTTTGGGTCATTGTCCTGTTGCATCACCCATCCTCTGCGGAGCTTCAGTTGGCGGGCAGATGGTCGTACGTTTTCCTGCAAAATGTCTTGATAAACTCTGGAATTCATTTTCCCATCAATGACAACAATCCGTCCAGGCCCTGAGGCAGCAAAGCAGCCCCAAACCATGATGCTCCCTCTGCCATTGTTTTACAGTGGGGATGAGGTTTTGATGTTGGTGTTCTGTGCCTTTTTTTCTCCACACATAGTGTTGTGTGTTCTTCCCAAACAACTCAATCTTGGTTTCATCTGTCCACAGTATATTTTGCCAGTAGTGCTGTGGAACATCCAGGACCTCTTTGCAAACTTCAAACGTGCTGCAATATTCTTTTTGGACAGCAATGGCTTCCTCCGTGGTGTCCTCCCATGTACTCCATTCTTGTTTAATGTTTTCCTTATTGTAGATGTGTCAACAACAATGTTAGCATGTGCCAGAGATTCTGTAGGTCTTTAGCTGACACTCTGGGATTCTTCTTTGCCTCATGCAGCATTCTGCGCTGTGCTCTTGCAGTCATTTTTACAGGACGACCACGCCTAGGGAGAGTAGCAACAGTGCTAAACTTTCTCTATTTGTAGACAGTCTGTCTTACCGTGGACACATGAACATCAAGGCTTTTGGAGATACTTTTGTAACCCTTTCCAGCTTCATGCAAGTCAACAATTCTTGATCGTAGGTCTTCTGAGAGCTCTTTTCTGCGAGGCATGGTTCACATCAGACAGTGCTTCTTGAAACCAGTAAACCCAAAACAGGTGTGTGTTTTTTAAGGGCAGGACAGCTGTCAGCAACACATCCAATATCATCAGACTGATTGGAGTCAAGGTTGGCTCACTCCTGGCTCCAATTAGCTCTGGGAGAAGTCATTAAGCTAGGGTCTCACATACTTTTTCCTCCCTGCACTGTGAATGTTTACATGTTATGTGCAATTAAACCATGGCAACATCTAATGTTTGTGTAGTATTATGTTCAGCAGACTGTGTTCTTCTATTGTTGTGACTTAGATGATGTTCAGAGCACATTTTATGCCCAATTCATGCAAAACTCCACGTAATCCCAAGGGGTTCACATACTTTTTCTTGCAACTGTATATAGAGAGAGAGAGTATATAATTTATTTTATTACATTAAACATTGTATACTGTATAAATGTATTTTATACATATATTTATATATATTTTTGTTATAATATATAAAATATCATACATAGTTATTCAGAGTAAAAAAAATACATTATTCCATAAATTAAAAATAACAAGAACAAATCTCCATATACATTTTTCTTTACTCACAGTTGATCCAGAATAAGGGAAAACATAAATTTATTTATAAATACAATTTCATGTACCGTAAGCCTTTGGTGTGTTAATGTCATAAATAAATAAATAAATAAATAAATCTATCTATATATGTATATATATATTTATAGCTATAGATATATATAACACATTAACACACTCAAAGCTTATATGATATAGATATATATGCATATTTTAAAATTATATAATATTAATATATATGCAGTAATATATAAAATTATATATGATGCTAGCATGTTGAAAGCTTATATGAACTTTTAGTGATTTTTTTTCATTTAATTAAGTATATTCATTACATTAGCAATATATATTATTTTTATATATATATATACACACACACAGTTTATATGACGTTAGCACGTTAAAAGCTTATATGAAATTTTAGTGATTAGGTTTTCATTACATAAAGGATTCTTTTGTAAATATTGGCCTGAGCTAAACACCCCGCATGTATTTATTTAGCTATACGGTAGGATTATGCCTATTAAGAGACATTAAAACAAAGTCACCCCCCCATGCCTTGTTTAATTAGGAGTTTTTTCAATGTATTGTTTCTCATTTCACCCAGGTCTTGGGACAGTCTCAAGTGGCCGGCATATCTGCAGCTGATGACAGCCCAAGGTGTGACTTCCCAGGGGGACCTCTGAATAGGACACTAGGAGAATACACACATTCTTCAACAAGACTCCATGTGCCCTTCTATGGAAAGAGAATGGAAGCCAAACAAGCCCAAGTTGGTTGCCTGGGGTCTAAACATGAGTTTCTCTCCTCTGGAACAGAAAAACCTTCTTTGTCCAACCTGTTAGTGCCTTTGTTCTGGAATAAAAGCTAAAGACAACTTGCACAGCCTGAGCTGGGAACTCTGCCTTAAATCCGGACCTGACACTATTCACAAGCTCTTGACGGGGACAAAAAAGGGGAAATTAGGCCTAAAATCTAGCAGGCAGATGTCCAGGGTTAAAACAGGTTATTTGTTAATTGCTTTTGTGTTTTTTAAGGGGAGGGAATGGATGGCTGAGGAAGAGACCTGTTTGGAAAATAATAAAATACAAAAAGTTAGCACTCCACATGCGATGTGATTCATTTCAGAGTGATTCATATTTTCAACGATTAATATGGATGAGTTAAACAGGGTGCAAGCTGCATTTGGTTGGCTCGCCAATTAAGGGATAATGTGTAGGACAGTGTGAATAGCTGTCTCTCTCAGCAGACCAGACAAAAACATCTACATCCATCGAATCACCGCAGCGGAGGACCAAACGGCATGGAAGAATTTTAATCGCAGCCTTGGTTAACAAATGTCTCACGTGCAGTTGAAATGAACTTGTTGAATTATAGGCAATGGCCAACAAGAGGTTAATTTCAGATTACTGAGAGATTAGGGTGTAGTTTATGTCTTAAAGAGAACCTGTCAGCAGACTATTTGTTTCAACAACAATCTTTCCTTAAGATCGTACACCGATCAGCCATTACTTTATGACCACCAACAGGTTAGGTGAGCATTGATTACACTGACATCTGAAAGTCAGTGGGATATATTAGGCAGCGAATTAACATGTTGTCCCTGAAGCTGATTTGTTGAAAGCAGAAAACAATGGGCATTTCAGTTTATTGTGCATGGGCTGCGTAACCACAAACAGGTCAGTATGCGACAACACCTCTGAAGGTATGCTGTGGTACCTGGCTATCAGCAGCAGATCCTGTAAGTTCTGTAAATTGCAAGTTGGGGCCTCAGTGGATTGAATTTGTTTTCCCAGCACTTCCCACAGATGCTTGATTGGACTGAGATCTGGAGAATTTGGAAGCCAAGTCAACACTTCAAACCGAACACAACTTCGTTGTATTCCTCAAACCATTCTTAAACCATTTTTGCAGTGTGCCAGGCCTCATTGACCTGCTGCCATCACTGCCATCAGCAAATGCCATTTCCATGAAGGGGTGTTCTTGGTCAGCGACAATGTTTAGGTAGGTGGTACATGTCAAGTAACATCTACATGGCAGGACCATAGGTTTCACAGTAGAACTGTCAGGGCTCCGGGTATGACCAGAGATGTGTGGACTGACACAGGGAAACGCAGGCTTCAGGTATAGAGTAAACAAGACAATTTATTAAAGACTAAACAACACAAACGCAGTGCAAGGTAAACATAACACAGTGTAAACAACCCAACCTCCAACAGTATAACCATATATACAATCAAACGTAGTCAGGCAGGCCGGGTCAGTAGCAAACGGGCAAACGGTACCAGGAGCGAGCGGAAGAGTGGTCAGGAATAGCTGAGGTCAGGACAGGTGGAGTTTGTTCAGAGTCAGGATCAAAGCAGAATCAGGATCAGGCAGGAAGCAGACAGGATGCAGGTACAGGGGCTCATGGGAAACATACACCAAGGCACTGACTGCAGGCCTGGGCACTCCTTAAATACAGCTCCTGCAATCAGCCTCAGGTGATGACTTGATTGCAGGAGTGAGCTTCTGGCTGCTGGGGGCACCCGCTGGCCAGCCCTGGTACTGCAGCCCACACGGCAGTTAAGTCCCACCACCAGTGGTGAGTCCATTCCTGACAAGAACATTGCCCAAAACCTCAAAATGCCTCCACCAGCTTCTCTTCTTCTCATACTTCACCCTGGTGCTATCTCTTCTTCAGGTTCGCAACTGACACATACTCAGCCATCCACATGATGTAAAAGGAAACATGATTCATTAAATCAGGCCACCTTCTTCCATTGCTCCGTGGTTCAGTTCTGATGCTCACACATGCCCATTGTAGGCTCTGTTGGATGTGGACACAGGTCAGCATGGGAACCCAGATCATTCTGTGGCTACACAGTACAAACTAATGGCAACCACCCTAACCTATAACTGGCCTTTGCAGCAACGAGCACATGGAAGGGCAACAAATGTCAAAAAACAAACAAAAATTCTCAGCTCACTTACAAGCCAGCCTGCAACAAACTGAATTAATCCCATCTAACAGTTCATGTTAAAAACAAGGAGTTTAGTTTGCACACATTTTCAAATATATGAGTAAGCTGCAGTGCCCACATCATAGCACCTCAAAGTACTGTAGCCCTAGCTCTATAATTTTAAGAGTCTCCCATGTTGGCGCACATAGTATATAATAATGGATAGATCAGGGGCAGGTATGTCTGGAGGAAGCCCAGCAAAAGCACAATGGCAGCTGATGTGTCCCCAAACCAATTCAACAACTGTACAAACAAATGGCAACCACCCCAAGCTATAACTAGCCTTTGCAGCAAAGAGCACACGGAAGGGCGACGCATGTCAAAAAACAAAAAACTTCCCAGCTTACTTATTACCAACCTGCAACAAAAAAAGTTAACCTTGTCTAACAGTTCATGTAAAAAAACCCCTTGTTTTTAGCGTGAACTGTCAGACAGGGTTAATTCAGTTTGTTGCAGACTGGCTGGTAAGTGAGCTGGGAGTTTTTGTTTGTTTTTTTTGACTGTGGCTACAAAGCCCTATGCACAACAAACTGTGATGCCTATTTTTCTGCTTTCAACACATGAACTTCAGGGACAACATGTTTACTTGATGCCTAATACATCCCACTAACTTCCATATACAGTAGCATTGTAATAAGATAAACATGTTATTCATCTAACCTGTCAATGGTCAAAAAGTTGACCGATGTATAACCATATAGGAAGATTTTTGTTGAAATGAACAGCCTGGTGAAAGAGTCCTCCCTCCCTCCCTGTAGTCTTCTGGGACATGTGACAGGTCCCAGAAGACTTCAAAACCATTCACAAGGTGCAGTGCTACTCACACATGCAAGCTTCACAGCTGGGTGCCCAAATTTAAGATGTCGGTGCTGGGGACAGAGGACACCTGGTGAAACCAGCTGCAGTGAGGACACTGTTGGATCGGGGGACAGGTGAGTGGCTGTTTTTTAAGTTAGCAGCTGCAGTAGTTTTTGTAGCTGATGACTTTTATTTTTTTAGATTTTGACTAGAGCTCCACTTTACGCCGATTTTTGCACCCCCCTATTCCTCAAACTCCCCCCAAAAATCTTTATCTGATCTGTAGTTTTAATTAAAAAAAAAAAGCCCAAAAAGCTAAATGCCCTGTTTCTTTAAATAAAGCTACTTTTAGCAGATAGGTTTAGGGATCACATTTACTATACACATACTGTATACTCTACATCAGCCTTTCTCAACCAGGGTGCTCAGGCACCCTGGGGTGCCTTGAGGTTTCTTCAGGGGTGCCTTGGCAATATTTTTAAAAGACACAAAGCCACAGGTATTCATTGTTTGCCATTACAACCTCCTAGCCATCGGCCTCCTGACATCCAATGACACCATCAGTTGATAAGCAGTGAGTTGCCTGCATAGCATCCCAGTTTGAGCCTTCTCTGCCCCTTTCCATCAGTGCTGGGGTCACAATAGCTCAGTGATGGAGAAAAACTGAGAGAAACACTGGAATACTAGTCAGTACCAGTGTGCAATAGTATATTTGATATGGAAGAATAAATCACCTCTAGCATTGGGTGTCCTTCATGTGTGGATGTTGATGTGTTTTATCAAACTATTAGAATGGTTTTTTTACATTTTAGAATGGGGTGCCTCAAGACTGTCCATAATTTTAGAGGGTGCCTTGGGACTGTCCATCATTTTAGAGGGTGCCTTGGGACTGTCCATCATTTTATAGGGTGCCTTGGGACTGTCCATCATTTTAGAGGTTACCTCAGGACTGTCCATCATTTTAGAGGGTACCTCGGGACTGTCCATCATTTTAGAGGGTACCTTGGGACTGTCCATCATTTTAGAGAGTACCTCGGGACTGTCCATCATTTTAGAGAGTACCTCGGGACTGTCCATCATTTTAGAGGGTGCCTCGGGACTGTCCATCATTTTGCCTTGACTGAAAGTTGAGAAACACTACTCTGCATCCATGCACTCACGGCAGTTCTCAATGCACATGCACCATGGTGATTCATCCTTACAATGATCATTTTCCTTTAGTAATTCAGGTTCCTTGTCATCTTTACCAAATCTTTGTGAAACATGATGGTGCTCAGAGTTTTTTATACTGATAAATACTTACGTGTTTTCTTTACTCAACCTAACCTACTTAGAGCCCCATTAATTCATTTGAAGTGTGATCTCTTTTTAATAATAGATCCACTTGAAGCAGTCATTCCCCATCAGTGCTCAGCCTAACCGTGCACATTTTCTATGCTAAAATATTGAGCACTTTACCTGGGCTTGCTTTTCACCTAAGCAGCAGAATTGGCTTTACAGGAATAGTAGTGATTGATGAGTAAACAGATGGAACAAATGACTCTCCAGGGTGTAAACACAAGTAGTGTGTAGTAGTGATTACTCTTGTACAATGCTCCACTTGTGTGCGATTGATCACTATTACATGCTGTTTTAGTACATTCTACCTGTAGTTTATACCACAAGGAGCCATTTGTTCCATCTACCTATCGATTAATGGCTGCTCTTATGGTGGCCATAAATATAGAAATCTATATTCAATTTATATAAAAGAGATTGCAAACAATCTATCTATTACCCAATACAACACTCATGGCATTGTTTCACATTTTCCAATCAACTGAAAATATTGATCAAAGATACGATAGG